ATGTCTTCTTAGTAATCTTTGGAATCCAGGAAAAATCTTATAGAAAGATATTGATCAATCAGGTTGAAAAGAAGAGGGTGCGTGTGGTTGTGCGAGTGGTCCATCGACAAATGATGCTTAAGAAAATGTCCTCATCACACCCACAAATAAAGATCCTGCTGCAGCTCATTTACTTAAAAACATGAGTTTTGAGGTAGTGCAGGAATCAATTTCTTACTTGTGGGCCAAAAAAGGTGAAGAAAGGAGGGGAAAAAAGAGTCTGAGATTCCATTCTGTGAGCACAAAATAATGTTTCTTTTTTTTACTTGTGTCCCATATATTACATATCATACCAAAATAAATAATTGCATGTCCATCAAATCAAACAGGGAAAATAGAAAGGTGCATATGGATCATGGATGACAAATTAATTCAGCTTGAGTTCTTGAAAAATGCTATGTTTTCATCAGATTTGCATTTGTCTGCCTTAACTTTTACAAATGGAAGTGAGGAAAAAAGAAAAAGGAAAATGTTCTATTTTAATCTAATCTAAATTATGGGAAAGGAATTCGAATTCGGGTGCATTTGCTTAATTGCTTTGCATTACCAAGACAACAAGACATTCATATAAAATGAATCGGCTGAAATTTATACTTGGATTGGATCTTCCTTCACATTCAAGTTAAACACCACTACAATATTAGAGTAGATAATATCATCCAACATATGAGGTGCTCAATTTTGGCTGAAAATTTATATTATTTCCCCAAAAACCTCATATATATGTAGGCATTGCCATAGCACCTCAGATAAGATTACATATTTGATAACCAAAAACTAAAAACTACTTGTAAACCAACAATATTATAAATAAATAAAATCTCTCTCTCTAAGCTTAAAACATTATCAACTGGCTTCATCAACAGATATTGGCATATCACCTTGACCTCCAGATGATGCATTTCCAGCAGTATGCCTAGCATCAGCAACTTCTACAGAATCTGAAGCTGCAGCTGGCTGTTCAAGCAACGAGTGGCGGCAAGTTGGGCACGAAGAGTGTGACAAAAACCAAGTGTCTATGCACCTGACATGAAATCCATGGTTGCATTTTGGCAAAAGCCTCACTTTCTGGCCATCTTGAAATTCTCCAAGGCAAATTGGGCAGTCTGTGGCAGGAATATTGGCCCCTGAGCCATATGCCACAATGGGAATTTGACGCAATGTGCTCTTTTTCAGCCCTGTGGCTGCTAAGCGCGCAGCAGTCTCATCTGGCGTCTCAAAAGAGAACCTTCTGCTGCATCTTAAAGCACAGCGCACGATTGAGTTTAGCCCCAGAGCAAATATCAGTGCACAGAGCAGGGCTGCTAGAATGATGACCATGTTGGTGTCAAAGTTGGCCTCATTGGTGTATGTCCCACGTGTCCTGCTTCCATTGGCTGCGTCTGGTGTGGTTGATGATGATGATGATGATGATGATGATGATGATCCTGATGATCCTGATGATCCTGATGGGTCTAGAAGTAGGCGGTGTGGACGGTGATGAAGAGTTACCATTGGTTGCTTCACTAGATTGAGAATCAGCAAAACTAAACAGAACCCACCTTCCTCCTGCTTTGTAATAAGCTAAAGCTTGTATCTTTTTGCTTAACAGATTATGCAAATAAGCTTGGAGTTTCATATCTCCATGGGTTTTTGGCGCCAAATCGAACCACAAAGGAGACTGAGAGAAGGGAATTCATCTTCCCCATGTACAGAGCAAAGCTTTCTCTTATTTTTCGTTCCACTCTAGCTACCTCTGTGTTTCGTGTTGGAATTCTATGCAAGGCTGGTGGTAGCTGAGTTGTGGGGGATTTCAAAGACTGGTTGATTTCATGGTAGTGAGGGAAACTGCATAAAATTAAGTGCGGACTTCTTGTTTCTTACCTTGTGGCTCTTCTTTGATATCTCTCTTGTCAAAACTGAGAGAGATAGAGAGGGGCCTTTGTGTTATGGTAATGTGTGTCAGGATTCCAACTAGATAAAAAAGACTTTCAAAAAAAGCATATCTTGATGGTCTCTCTGATTATGGAAGTGGTGGTGAATAGTAATCATCAAGACTCCAAAAGGTTGAAACTTGAAGTTAATAATCACTTCAATTAAGATTTGTAACCCTCAGAACAACCCTAACTTCTAAAAAGACATGGAATGAAGAAAAAGAGAAGAAAGTATGACTCATATATTCTTACCAAAGAGGCTTAGAGGCTCAAAGGTTTAAATGAAGCCTTTTCTGCTTCTTCCATTCACACAGAGAGAGAGAGAGAGAGAGAGAGAGAGATTGAGATTGAGAATTTGGTAGATGCTGCAGAATGTGAGAGGGTTATGGGCAAGTTTTGTAGTATTTGGATTGTGGGTAAGGAAGGACACTGGGTTACAGATAGGAGGATGGATACCAAATGAGACTAAGATGGGTGTCTTTTCAATTCCAGAGTGTGCATTATTGTTGAGAGAAATGACATAGAGAAGATTAAACTTTAGAGAATCAAGTAGAGGGAAAAAAAAAGGGTATGCTCATTAGCAAAGCAAAGTAAAAATAAGAATCCTATTTACCTCCTTACCGGTAAGGAAATACTTTTTCTTTCTGCAAATCACAGTTTGACACATATGCAAAAATAATTTATTAAAATCATAGAAAAACTTATGTACACATATCACACTGCTATAGGCAGGAATGTAGAAGCTCATACTTATCTAGTATTTTCCTAAAATTAAAGTAAAAGCCTAAGAATTTTGATTAAGGTACCTGATCCTAATTGTGATTTAAAAGAAAGTAAAGCTTATTATTCCAAGCACCGAGTCCTTCCACTCCTACACTCATCTTCCTTTATTGTAAAGTCAAATCATTGCTTCTCCAATTCAGCCAATCTTCATCCTTCTTATATCCTAATCTATTCTCCTAATGCTAATGTCGACATTTGCTCTCCTCCCCCCCCCC